ATTAGATATCATTTTGTATCTCAAAATTCTGTTTCAAGTTTTCGGATTTTGAAAAATTCAATTTTTTGAAGTTTTCAAATTACCTAAAATGGAGAAATGGCATAAACCAAAGTCGTAATACTTGACGATATATAAAACTCTTAATTTTTTCATTTAAGTTGGTTTAGGGTCTCAAATATTCATTACAATATTCGCTAAATTGGACAAAAAAGATTGTATCAAACACTTGGTGACAAATGACTATAATGCAAAGTGGTAAGTAAGCAATGCCCTAGGCTGGCCTTGCGGATACACGTGGGTGTATTTGACATGAAAACTGTTAGAATCTGATACCCTTGTGCAGCAGCCCTCGGATCTTAGAAAGGATATTACGAGTTGCACCATATCAAGAATGATGTAGTCGAATCATGTAGAAAAAAGCCTAGTGTCACACCCAATTTTAAGGATAAAATGGGATGCATAATCTTATGTGCGCCCAGAGTTCAATCACACACATAAGCCGACAAATTATAGAATGTACCATCACAAGTGTTTATTACATCATGAATATTATCACATAGTCTTCACATAAATATGGCGGAAATATTAAGATAACTCTCTCGCGGAAGCTCCATAGCACATGGACGTCAACTGGTTGACCACAAGACTAGTAATCTTCAGGGAAGTCATCATTACCATAGCAATCTGTTACCCATCTAGGATTTTTATCGAAATAATGAAAATAAACAAGCATAAGTACATCTCGTACTTAACAAGTGTAACATGGGGTTAATGAGGCTCAAAAGCTTGACACTGGTTTACTGCGATTAGCTTTTAATAAGTCACAATTTTAGCAATTGAGTAGCAACAAGTTTAGCATAAGCCCCAAATAGCCACATGATAATGTAAACAAGAATAATGTATAGCAAGAAACAATAATCATTAGTGTCCATCTATTCCATAAGGAGTCCAGGCTGCTCGTGTTCGTGAGCACGGCTGATATACCAGTTTTATACTCTGCAGAGGTTGTACACTTTCACCATGAGTCGTGATTTATCCTTTTGCCCGAGGTGATCAGCCTCTTGACCCACTACCAAGGAAGGTCGGCAAGGTTCACTATAAAGCCTTTCAAAAGTCCCTCTAACAAGTTAGTAGCTGCTAGGTTTCAGCAGCTAGGCGAATGGAGCCCCTCTAACAGAGTGGCACATTCCACGCAGGCTATACACACCCTGAGAGACAACAAGCCATTCTGTAACCTAGGCCAATCCTTTTGCGCCTTAAGGTAACCACTGACAAGCTAGAAAAGCTCACTTTACTTAGCTCAAGCCAAAGCTGAAACCATAGCTCTCATGGTTGTACTATAAGTACCGGGTGATCACTTACAGATAAGTCTTTAGGGAGAGTAATCAAGAGCACCACAAAAAAAGGCTCTAGCCCCCTTATTTCAAATTGCTAAAAATCGTATTTTAACATTTATTGCATATACTATTGGTCAAGTTATAAGATCATGGTTATTGAATTAGAGCGCTAGCATCATACTACCCAATGCAATATCCCACAGGTGTCAAGGTACAAGATATAAAAGCTAGGAAATCCTTAGTGGTAATTGAGGTAGACACATGCAGTATGAATTATGTGATTAAAGGTGAATAGGTAACAAGGATGATCCCATGCTATACTTGCCTTGATCAAAGCGTTCCTGTAGATCCTACTCGTCAAAGTAGTACTCTGAATCTCCCACGAATTGATCACCGTCTATACTCGATCAATACAACAACACACAAGCATCCCGAGACAATCAAGCAAAGCAGGCAAATCTATAATTAGAACAGTACACCAATAGTATAGAATCAAGATGAAAAGTTTGTAAAACGAATCCAAATCTCGCTATGAACACACAGATGCGAAGATCACAAAAATCGAAGCTATAACAAAGAAGTTATGAATTAAATAAGTTTTCCTTTAGTAAAATAATAGATTAAACCTAACCTCGAATTTCAACAGTTGAAAACATGTTTAACAGTAGTATGAACATGTAGATTACGTAATTACAAATCTGACGCAACTTGAACGGATCAAAACGAAGTTAAAACGAAGTTTTTATGACTAAAACAAAATCAGTGGCAGATCTGTAAATAGAGAAAACGTATTTTAAACCTAACAGAGGCGAATCTACGTTTTCAGAAAGAGAAGACGTATTCTAGGAATACGCTATGGACTGCGGGTTCTATTTAAACAAAATAGAGGGTCTCTTTAGCAAAAAGAGCTGTGAAGGGGTATGGTGGAATATGAGCCGTTGGATTAGATCGGGACGGCCCGGATTAGACGAAGGGAGAGAGAATCGCCGGTGGCGAGCTGAGATGGCGACGTACGACTAGAATAAGCAGAGGACCTCACCGGCGTTCGTCGTTTTCGACATCCCGAACATCACCGATCAAAATGAAAGCACGGGGAGATAGAGGCGACCAAGGCGAACTTACCAAGGCCGAAAACGAAGGTGGAAACGGATCAAAGGTGACTAGCGGCTCGAAACGGTGGCGACGAATCTCCTATAGACGTTGGCAGCGCGAGGTGAACGAACCAAAATGAGGAAAAGAGAAAGAAGGGGTTCGGTGGCTTCGCAAAACTAGCGCGAAGCTCGGAGAAGAGCTTACGTCTACGTTGAAGTGATGGAAGCGCGGGCGAACTCGACAGTGGCGGATTAGGGCTTGCAGTGGTGCTGTGAGCTTTAGGCGAGGGCGGCACTTGCTCTAGGGTTAGGAGGAGGTGGTGTGGTGCAGGGACTCGGTATTTATGGGGGCTATGGCGTGGGTAGCATGCCAAATCCTGGAGGAATAGAAGGTGGGGCGTTGATTTCCATCGGAGGGAGAGTCCGGCTCGGGCAAGACTCAGGGTAGGAGATGACCCTAACCTGTGGGTCCCGATCGTCAGTGGCTCAAGGTGTGGGGCTGGGCTGTCAGCGCCAAGAGAGAGAGAGGGAGAACGCCCACGTGGCATGCTAGGCCAGCCCGTTTAACTGGGCTGCGGGAGTGGAGCTGGGCTGCGGGGAGAGTGTGGCTGAGCGGGCCAAAAAGCCATAGAGAGTGAGAGGGAGAACTAAATTTCCTTTTCAATTTCTTTTCTAAATTTCCAAAGAGTACCAGCCACCCCTGTAATACCTATTTGTAGGGGCGGTTCGCTCTAGAACCGCCCCTACAGTACATTTTTTTGCCAAAAAATTAATTTATAATTCAAAGAGAGGTCCACGTGGCATACAATAATCACATCATTGTACATACAAAAAAAAACAACCAACAAACCCATACACGATTGATGAACTAATACAATCACACCCATATACATACGCATCTAATAAGATCTTTGGCCTCTGTAGCCATCTTCAAGTTCTCCATCACTTCTACAAGCAAAAAGTGCAGCCTTGATTAGTTCTATTATAGCCCAGCATGTACAGAATAAATGTAAATGATATCGAGTACTGTTCGTCGGCGGTGCTCACCTGCTCGAACCCCTGCGGGGGGAACTAGTCCAAACTCCGCTCCTGCTCAAAGCCATGCCGATGACGAGGAAGGCTCAGGCTGGCAGAAGAAGACGGGGTTAGGTCGTCCACGGGATGCTGCTGCGCGGTGAAGAGAAAGCAGTCATGGTCGGTGAAGGTGAAGTTGACGCACGGCTACATCACCCGACCGGCCGACCTGACGAGGACGGCGACGGATCCTGGCTCCTCGGGTACGGCTATAGCTCGGAGAGGATGGCGACAACACCGGAGTTGGAGAAGATGAACAGCAATGGCTCGGTCTATCGCTGTGACCGAGCTCCTCCTGGCAGTGTGGTCGATGATGGCAGCGGCGGTGAGTCACCGTTGCGACCGAGCTCCTCCCGCAGCTGCGGCGGTGAGGTTCAAACCCGGCAGAGCTTCGCCTGGTGTAGTGGCATCGGCGTGGTTGGGGAAGAAACTATGGGTCTCTTCTTAAAGGCCCCGGCACGTTTGGACCACATCATAATTTTGGACGCGGGATTTGGAAGCTGAGCGAGCGCTCGTGTGGTAGCTGCATAGTGGGGCAAGTGCCGGATTGGCGAAATTGTGGACGGCGCCGTGGGATTTTGGAAACGGAGTGCGCGCTCGCGCGGCAGCTGGACAGCCAGCGCCGGATTAAAGAAATCCTGGGTGGTTGGTCTCGTGACTCCCGAGCACGTCACTGGAGGGGCGGCTCCATCACCAGCCACCCCTACAAAGAATTTCACCCGTTGCTACAAACCATTTTTCACGTAGTGTCAAAGCCTGATAACCTTAAAATAAAGATTCCTGCAGCTTCTTCAAGGACTCCGCCTCTAGCAGGTAGACAACTGCCTCATTGAAGTTGTGAGTAGTCTTCTCGGCAAGAATATTCATCACTAACTGCTCCCGCGATGGTGGTAAGAATGAAGCCAATATGAAGACTTGATCATTCTCCTCAATTTTCTCATACACACTAAACAATGCTGCACAACATCTCTCTCCTGCCGTCTCTCTACTGTTCTGCACCGTCTCTGTGCATATCCAATGGTGCACATCCATAAGCCTGAGTCCATAATTTATATATAAAAAAGTAGGAACCTATTGACTAACCATTAATGATAATGGACAGTTTTTACTCAACAATGTTATCTCACTATGCAAGAGATGTTGTAAAAAAGTTCAAATAAACTTGCATTGCAATTAATTTATTTTTTAGAAGAATAGATCATTCCATTAACTTATAGACCGAAGATGATCTTCAAACACCAGGTTCTCAACAAACTCCAGCACACTATCCCAGAGCAGGCCGGAGAGTTGAGAGCAATTACATGTTACAACCAAGAGATGCTAGACTATGGGATCATTCCATTAACTTGCATTGCAATAATTTTATTAGATGAAACACAGACGCTGTAGGATTTAGATGACCAGTTGAAATAATTAACAGGAATCAGATCTATTGAAAACAAACCCAAATCTATAAATGACATCTCACCATATTTATTTCACATTCCTCAGTCCCCAACTACTCCATTAGTTGAGCACCCCGGCAGCGGTGGTTGACTGGTTGCTTCTCCGCTGGAGGCTTGACCCAAGGCGTCGGCATCGACCAAGGATGGACCCAAGGCTTCGGCATTGGCAGAGGTTGAATCCCAGGTGTCGGTGGAGGCTCGACCCAAGGCGTCGGCATCGGCGGAAGCTTGACACAAGGCATTGGTAACGGCAGAGGCTGGACCCAAGGTGTTTGCATCGGTGGAGGCTTGACACAAGGCGTTGGCATCGGCGGAGGCTGGACCCAAGGCGTCGGTATCGGCGGAGGCTCGACACAAGGTGTTGGCATCGGTGGAGGCTGGATCCAAGGCGTTGGCATCGACGGAGGCTTGACACAAGGCGACAGCATAGGTGGAGGCTGGACCCACGGCGTTGGCATCAGTGGAGGCTTGAAACATGGCGTCGGCATCGGCAGAGGATTGAAACAAGGCGGCATCGGCGGAGGCTGGACCCAAGGCGTCGGCATCGGTGGGGGCTTCACCCAAGGAGTAGGCATCGGTGGAGGCTGTACCAAAGGCGTTGGCATGGGCGGAGGCTGAACCCCAGGTGTTGATGGTGGCTGGACCCAAGGCTCCGGTGGTGGCCCACCATCGCACACCTTGGTGCAGATGCAGGAGTGAAAACCTAGCCAAGCAGGCGCGACTTGGCTTGTCTCCGTATAGCTAGAGCAGTAGCCACCAGTGTAGCCTCTCATGGCGACACAGCACAAGGCCGCACACATCCAATTGGCCTTGCAGATAGACCAGTGCAACCGCGATTCGCATAGTCCTCCTGTCCCTGTTGCCTCAGCTCCAGCTGCAACCACAACACTTTCTTTTTATGTAGATTTTGATGATGAAACATCAGCTAGTGTGCTTCGTGCAAATTTTGCTGAAATTTTGAAACTGAATTTCAATTTCCTCGTCACTTACAATGTGACGTGAGGAGCAGGGCCAGGGTGAAGCCAGAGGCCACTAGTTGCTTGTGGGAGGGCATGATTGTACCTTGTACGGATGAGTGCCGCTCCTTGCCAAAAAGAGGTTGTATGTGTTGTGTTTGATTTATAGAAGGATGATGGTGGCGGCCTACATCATCAATGAATTCACTGTACTAATTTTATCTCTGTATGGATGGGGCTGTTTGGTTTGAGGAATCAAACCATTCTAAATATGGTAGTGTATCACAAGTCCATTCCTCAAATTTGATAGAATGACTTCATTCCTCACACCAGTACAAATCATTAGACTGCAAGTAATGAGATAATGATAGATAAATCCATTCCATTCCAGAAATCAATTAAAAAAGTGAGAAATGAAAAGACGATAGACTAACCCAATCCTCAAACCAAGCACCCTAGGTTGATGTGGGGATGGAAATATTAGATGCTATACTTGCTCGTTGTCCATAAATGAAAGCATTTTCCTTTATTTCCTAGAAAAGACTATGGAGAAATGGAAATGACTATGATGCCTCAATTAATCACAAAGATTATAGATATGCAATTAAACATCTTCCTTTTCTGCCGGTGACATAAATGGCATATGATAATTATGTTTTAAACATAAATATTCCATTGGTAGGTGCTATAATTGAAACAACAGGCATTGAGGGGAGTGTAGGGTTAACCCATAAACTAATTATAACTTTGGACAATTTTAAATGCTAAAGTTATATGCATTTATGGATAGGGGAGTACACTTTTTTATAGAGATGAGCTTAACTTATTTGGGCTCCAAATGATTTTTAGAGACGGTAGTCAATATAATTGTCTCTGTAAATCAAATTCTGATCCTCCGAAAATTCTTGTTTATGTATGCTAAGTTCAATTCAACATTGTGGGCTTGGCCACGTGGAGGGCCTGGTGGGGAATAATGGTGATGCCTCATTAAGGCCCCATTTGGCATGGCTTCTCCACCGGTTTCGGGAGTCGTTTGGAGCCGTTTTCTGCTAAATAGGGTAAAATAAAACGGCTTCACTGGTTAAGCGCCTTAAAAACTACTCTCACAGAGGTTTAGGATGGGATGGAGCCAAAAAAATTGGCTTCATCTGGATTCACCTTGCCTACGTGGAACCCAACAAGGATGAAAAACTAGATTGCCCTAGGTCGAGGCTCATGGTTGCTGAGGCACACTGGCATGGGGTGTACGGTTTGGGCGTGGCCGCCAAAGCGCATGGCCGTTCACTACAAGAAACTTGTTAATCCGTGATGGTTTCTCGGTGGCAGATTTAAATACCGTCACTGACAGACGCAATCCGTGATGATAATTTTTTCCGTCATGGATGTGCACCAGTGAATATTCCCGGCCCAATAATTTGTGACGGTTTTATCCGGATGGTCACAGTGTATGATTTTAAATTTGTAATACTCTAGTTAACCCAAAACAATAGGCCCACTATCATATATTTATTGCAAAGAAAAATAATCATGAGCCAAATAGGTACCTCTTGTTTTTTTTATTATCATGAACCAAATAATTTTATTACATTTTTGCATGTATATAGGCTTTTGGGTGCATACGGTAGAACTAAAAATATTTTTTGTATGTATATGGGCTTTTTGGTGCATACGGTAAAAATAAAAATATTTTGCATTTTTGTGGTGCGGATGGCAAACAAATCTGAATTTTTTTTGCATTTATATGGTGCGGATGGCAAAAAAAATCAATAATCTGAATCTGAAGCACATACGAATTGAACCCATGTGAGCTCAAAGAGCAACTCCAAATGCCTTAGCACTGAAGTACTTCCATATTATAGAAGGTGCAACTAAATTGTTGTATTTCTAGTGGTGTCTGCCATGGCTACCGGTCCACTCATAAGCTGGTATCTGCGGTTCCAAGTCACCACGTCATCAATGAGAGCAAACAGGTTAAGTAACCAATTGAAAAAAAAGCAAACAGGTTAAATAACAAATTGGAAAAAAAATTACTCAATAGCAAGGGTTTGAACACAGCACCTACCAAAGAAGACCTTTAGACCTTACACCTGACCATTGATTTGTTTGTGTTGAAATCGGTTATTCTATCTTTTTGTTTACACGCACAACACTTAGCAGTTAGCAACCTCCTCAGACAACAGTTCATTGACGGCCTTTACTTCAACTCACGCCGCACCGCCGGTTCATCTCCTTTTTTTCCCCTTGCGCGGCCTATCTCTCTCTCTCTCTTTTTTTTTGCGCCCGCGCGACGCCCATCTATTTTATTTTTTTTGCGTGCGCGGCCCATCTCTTTCATTTTTGCTGACACTGTTGCAGCGGACTAGCTCAACACTGTTGCAGCAGATGGCCTCAAAAAAAAGAGGAGAAAAACATGTGACGCTCTCAGTAATCAAACCTGGGACCCAAAGGTTGGAAACCAAGCTACCTGACCAATGCACTACGCTGGTGTTCGTGTTGTATAGCAAATAAACAAGTTAGTATATGTACACGGGACCAAACCACACCATAAAAAACAATCTTACCATGAAAATCATAACTAAGTAACTATGTCCATTTCCTTCATTTGGTGTTCATACATAGTTTATAGTGTTACCGGTTACTTATACTTATACACATGAAAATAACCATATCAAGTTTTGAAATTAAAATTTTGATTTACTCACATGAACTCGGATGAAGAAATGATCATAACCAAAGATGTAAATCTCGATGAGTTCTTTAACTTTGTTGTTGACAACTTTTTCATTTGAAACCATTTACTAGCCCAAAATTCTATTTGAAGTTCTCAATATTGGAAATTCAAATTTCGAATTATTCAAACAAAATGTGATGGAGAAATGTCTAAAACAAAAGTTATAGATCTCGATGGGTTCAACAAGTTTGTTGTTAACAACTTTTTCGTTTGAAATTGTGTACAATCCCAAAATCGTTTACTATCCCAAAATAGATATATCTCTCACATAGTTATATGGCTAAGTGAGAGATGTTTATATTTGTGAAGGATGCAAATCACTTTATTAAAATTACGTGAAATTTTTATGCAATACTTATAGATCCAAAATATGTTTTTGTATCAATTTGAAGAATTTTCAGACCAAGTTTAGTAATTATTGTAATTATTTGTTGAATTACCATTTAATAAATACAATAATGTAAACTTGATTAGAAAAATCTACAAACTTACATGACGATACGATTTTAGTATCCAATCATTGCATAAAAATTTCAAATGATTTTAACAAAACAATATTGCACATTGTTCACAAATGGATACAACTCACACATAGTTATACGACCAAGTGAAAGGTGTTTGTATTTGTAAAAGATGTATAGTCACACTTTATTGAAATTGCTTAATTTTTTATGAGAACTTATACATCCGTACGATTACCTCATGCTAATTTTTAGTATTTTTTGACCACTTAATGATATTATTGTTTTTTATTAGAATCACTAAGTTTAATGCCGCACTTAAACCTATATGGAAACACATAGAAAATGTTCCTTTTTTCGAATGAGCAGCCAATCTCCTGAGCTAGGCCGCATTTAGCCCATTCTGCTAACTCCCCATTCTCCTGAGCTGGATCACATGCATCACTCTATTCCATATCTTGAAGTTAGACGAACAAAACATTTGTTTGCCAGGGACAATTCATCTTCCCATCTCCAAAGTATCATAGAATAATTGTAATAACATCTAAACTTTGTTAAAACTCGGACTGCAGGGGTACATCCGAGCAGATTCTCTTTTCCATTTTCATTGGTCTTACCTCTACATCTTCTCCCAGATCGATCTGTATCTTGCTCTCCATCTCAAATCTGACCCATGAAATCCTTGGCAGCACTACGCCAGATTTGCACATCACTGCCGGCATCATCACTGCCGGATTTGTGAGAACCGGCAGTGAAGTACATCACTGTCGGTTATGAGCTTGAAAATGAAAAAAATGATTGGGGCTGGGCTAAAATCGGCAGTGAAGGACCACATCACTGCCGGTTTATGGCTTGAACCGGTAGTGTTTTGGCGGCCACTCATCACTGCCGGTTTAAGTCAAGAGACCGACAGTGATTGTGCTTTATCACTGTCGGTTCTAGCCAAGAACCGACGGTGATAAGCCTACAACACAAAAAGGTTGCAGCCGTCCTCTCCTTCCTCCTCTCTTCCATCCCGAGAACAGAGGCGCGCGTTTGGACCCTTCCCTCCATTGATGTGGCTGCTCTTCACCATGAAGCTAGTGCTTGGATTTTGAAGAATGGCCTGATCTTTTTGCTTTAAGGTTAGTAACAAACATCCACTCCTTTGATTTTGTTGCTTAATTAACTTCGTTTTGATGGCTACATTGCTTGATTCTCATTCTAGTTCTTTCTCCATTCTAGAGAGCACTTTTCCAATTGGACATTTGTGCAAGGCTCAAATTGTGGTGAATCAATCATCCAAAAGGTTGGTGTCTATGAACACATTTAAATTCCTAGCTAATTATTCCATGGTGGTCAAGATCATCATTGTTAGTATGTGATGCTATAATTAGTTCTTAGAAGTAGAGTAGAACAATTGTTCTTCAATATTATGCAATAATTGTTTTTTACTACGATTTTCAATTTACAGGGCCGGGGCTACCAATTTCAATTTTTCAATAATTAGTGTACAATAATATTTTCCAAAAATGGTACTTTCGAGCTACAATTGTTGTTCATGAAGCTCGATTTCTTATTAATTCTTTGTAATTACTGTCTCAATATTTTTTGTGCAGAGATGGATCGAGAGTGGATGCCTCTGTCCCGAACGGACAAGCGGTACATGTATGGCGTCAGCCAGTTTATCACCGATGCCAAAGCCCATGCTGGGAATGGGACCCCTGTCTTCTGCCCATGCAAAGATTGCAAGAATCATAGGAACTTTTGTCAAATTGAGTCTATACGATCGCACTTGATTACCAGGAGTTTCATGCCAAACTATATGATATGGACTATGCATGGCGAGGTTGGTGTGAATATTCTGCAGAAAAACGATGATGATGTGGACATGCCTGACATAGCCATCCATGATGCTGACGAGGAA